CTAACTTTTTTCTCACTCCTTTGTTTTAACCAATAGGACGAGTAGTAGTGGTTGAATGCATCAAAGGCTTAGGTGGATTGCGAGAAGTGGCGGCTTGAAGTTGAGATCGAGCCTTGTTTAACTCACCCTTATCCGCCGCATTCATCCAAGCCTTATAAAAGGAAGATAATGTGATACTCGCAGGAGGATTTTGTATTACCCATTTAGGAAGACTTAACCAATATTCCATCTAACGAGCATTCCATTCGGGTTTAAAAGTCACATCTTTAGGGGCATCACAATCTTGCGGAGGAATATATTCCCTCATCCCGTATTGTCTCATCACCCTACAAGGAAAAATATAAGTAGTACTAGATAGGCCTAAAAGCCTAATGTAAGGGCAATTGGGACTATTCCCAATCATACTATTTATGTTTCACCAAGGAATCACAAACCGTATGTTAGGAACTCCATGACAGATAAACGACGTCCATTCCTCTTCATTCTTATGCTTATAAAGGATTCGACGTCCAGGAAATGTCTTTATTCCATTAGCCTCAAGGTTTTGAGGCTGATCAACAATTCGCAAACTGTATCTATCCTTAGAGAACTTCGCAGAATGAGTCTCGAATTTATTTCCTTGACTACTTTGATCATCGTCTATTCTAGACTCAATCAAAGTGAGGGCTAACTGTAGACATCTACTTTTGGCCTCATGTCCCGACAGGAAGTGCAATGATGATAAATAAAGCCATCTTCGTGTTGGATCAAAGTGAAGAATACTTATGGATAACAAGTTAAGCCACAAAACACAAAAAACTAGCCCAAATTAAAGAAAATCCAAATAGAGGTCCAATTAACTAAACCCGATCATAATTAGTCTTAAGCTCGTGCTTAAACCCTAATAATGACAAATTTAGGAGCGCCTAGGTTAAAACTTAATGTTGCCGCAGAAAAAGCTGCGGGCATCTCACAAAGTCGCGCTGGGCTGCCGCGCGCAACTATTTCAGTTTCGCGCGACACCCAGCGCAACTTTCAGAGTTGCACTGCAGAAGATTTGTATTATTCGGAAATTATACGGAAAATATAAAATCGAATCTTACCATAAAGCCACGCGCAAGACCAATAGTTGCGCTGCACATAGCAGCGCAACCCTATAACGTGCGCTGGGTTGCCGCACGCAACTTCATCTGTTGAGCGCAACACCTGCTGCGGCAGAAAGCTCGAAACCCTAAACCTAATCCTTCCCTATAAATACGAGCTTAAACCGAGGCTTCAACAGATAGAAATTAACCTAAAAACTCTGGCGAAATAACTTGTGAACTTGTGCAACCTAGCCCTCTTGTCCTAAACACTCACCCTTTCGATACTTTGTTACTCAGTGGAGGTTCCCTAACAAGAAGGTGTCCATAAGTGTTCTAAACGAAGATCTAGCAAAGAGAAGTGGTAAATTCCCGAGCACTTAGTTAAATCACCTTTATTTTTCTTGTTTAAAAGGACTTTAATTAATTAATTAGTGTTGTTTGATCACTTTTAAAATAATTAATTAATCAATTCCACATAGTATCTTGCGTTAAATAAAGCCTAGAATTGAATTAAATAATTGTTGGTTGATCACTTAAGCCAAGGCGAATCTTGTTTATTTATTGTTCTTTCACGAATATTATTAAATAAAAATAACGACTTTGCAATGTAATTGCTATGTGAATTAATGCTTGTAAATAAAAATTAACTAACATAGTTTTAGGTATCGCGTTGCATATATTGTTTGGTGATGAAATTGTGAAAAAGGAAGAGCTAGTAGAGGCCGTACTAGGGCTAGGATGACGATTTTCCTCTAAAAGGAACGTTATCTTAGTACCCTTGCTCCCGAATTCATTTCTGGTTTATAGACCAATTTGGGCATGGGTAAACTTATGATTTGTGCTAATTATTCCGTGAACTTCACATGGAAGAAAGGCATTAACGAGGTTTATGAGTTTTTCCTAAAACTCATTGGCGACTCCTACTTGTTTCTTATAAAAAAGTGTGACGATAGAATCAATTCTAATTCAAGGTCCCCTAAACAGCCAGGAATTCAAATCCTACTACACCTTAACAAGTGTAAAGTCCTAGGCTTTTAAGTGGCCAAGGGAATTTAAGGAGAGTACCCCTTACGATGGGATTACCCTCCTTGTAGTGATATTCACATAAGAAGTGGCGTCAATCCACTTAGTAAAGTAATCGATGGCTACTAATACGTACTCGTGCCCTCCTGCTCCTGTTGGAGATATTTTTCCAATTATATCAATTCCCCAAGTCGAAAAAGGCCAAGGGGAAGTGAGATTATATAGTTCGGATGGTGGAAAGTGTTTTAAGTTAGCGAATACTTGACACTCTAGACATTTTTTAACTTATTGTATGCAATCATGCATCCATGGTGGACCAATAGTACCCTTGTCGTGAAATTGTTTTAGCAAGCATTTTACCATTCATGTGAGGACCACAAACGCATTTGTGAGTATCCTCCATAAGGCGTGTGGATTCAGGTTGGTCTATAAACAATAAGCTTTGACCTTTAGGCCCCTTTTTGCATAATTGACCATTTAATAGACCATATTGGGCTGCAAGTGTTCTTATGGCTCGTTGGTCTTTCGATGAAGTATTTTCAGGATATGTGCCATGGGTAATATATTAGAGGATATGATCATACCAAGGATTGTCTCCTTCAATGTCATTTATTTCCTCTATTGTGTTGCAATATGCCGATTCTTCTCTTCTATCAACGCATAATGGCATCATATTTAAATGACTGGAATGTTGATCATTAGGCTAATTTTCCTAGCGCATCGGCAAATTGATTATCATCCCTTGGGAGGTATTTAAAATCAATATGTTCAAAATGCTCGATGAGTTGCTCTAGGGTGTGCTTGGTATAATATCATTGCGGAGTTCTTTCCTTTCCATTTTTTTATTATATGATTTATAATCAAACTAGAATCTCTATATACCTCTAATTTTTGCACACCTATGCTAGCTGCTGCTTCTAATCCAATAATGCACACTTCACATTATGCGTCATGATTAGTAACCTCAAAGTCTAGTTTGACAAAGATTGGAGTATGTGCTCCCTCTAGACTTATGAGTAACACTCCCACGCCACATCCTTTTTGATTGGATGTACCGTCGAAGTACATTACTCATTTGTCATCTTGCGTCATGAGAATCTCTTTATCCGGAAGATGAGTAGTTTCCGCATGACATGTTTGAATAGGATGTTGGGCTAGAAAATCGGAAATTACTTTTCCTTTTATTAATTTTTCAGGAATATATTTTAGTTCAAATTCGGCCAGCATCACCAACCACTTGGATATTCTTCCTTGTATAGGTGGTAGTTCAAACAAATACTTTATCGGATTATGTTAAGAAGTCACATGAGTAGTGCGTGGTAGCATGTAATGTCGTAGTTTTTTTAGTTGCCCACACTAATACTAAACTTGTTTTTCCAATGTGTTATATTTTGTTTCATATTGAATGAATTTTTTTACGTATGTAGTATATTGCACGCTCGACTTTTTCTACCTCTTGTGCTAGCATGGCACCTGTGGCTGTATCTGTAACTGGGATGTATAGCCTAAGAGGTAGTTAGGGTACTTGTGGTGCTAAAGTTGGTGGAATTTTTAGATAATCTTTGATTTTCTCAAAAGCCCTTTGGCATTGATCGTCCCATTCATGTTTTTCTTGTTTTTTCAATTTTTTAAATATTGGCTTACAAGTCATAGTCAATTTGTTAATAAACCGACTAATGTATAGTCAAAAGCCCTTTGGCATCTCAAAAGCCCTAATTTCGTTTTCTGTTTGAGAGGGGGGCATATCAACGATTGCCTTTATTTTAAAGGGATCGATCTCAATACCATGTGTGCTTACTACGTGTAGACACCCATTTGTGTCTCCCCAAAACCAAACCCAGTGATGAGTACCTTTCAAGTCGAATCATAATCGAATGAAGTGAAAGTGTGGAAAGTTTAGTGTTGCGGATAGTTTTAATTTCTTTTCTTTTCTCTCTGTTTTTGAAAACTTATTTTAAGAAAACAGCCAATCCAGTTTGGTTGGTCCATGATATGGGTCCAATAGTAGTGTAGTTGGATGAGGCTTGACAAGAGCTTTCCAACGATATATTATAAGCCCAATTCCGATGAATATTGAGGAAGTTATGGCCGGCAAATTATAATATGCACCATGGTGCATCTAGTTCTATGTGAACCACCAATAAAAATATATTATCTCTTCTCTTTCCTCCTCTACTTTCCTAGTTTCTTATTTCTTTCTCTTTTATTTTCTCTCTCCTTTATTTTTCTCCCTCCTCTATTTTTCTCTCTATTTTATTTTTCTCTCTCTTGAATTCATTCATCATCCTTTTAATTAAAATCCTTCATCACCATAGTTGATCATCATAGATCGAATCCTTTGTTATTATAGATTAAATTCAAATTTTGTTTTCTTCAACTTTCGATTTGAAGCTTTGTTAATTGATGGAGTTTTTACAATGAAGTAGTGAAGCTAAAAATTGCGCCGTCGTCGAGGAGAAGGTGGTTAAGACGACGGAGATGATTATTTTCCGTTGAGATTTCATTATCTAAATCACCATGGCTAGGTTTGAGTTTTGGGATATGTAGCTTTCATATTCTTTTGATTTTTTTTAGTGATAATTTTTTATTTTGTTATGAACAGTTCTGTATTTGATTATATTTTAGTATTTTGAACAATTTAACACTACAAGAAAAAGATGAATTAGCAACTGATTTTTGCGACTACCATAATAATCAGTCGCAAAAATTATTTTTGTGACTGAAAAAGACGAGCAGTCGCAAATTTTGCGACTGATTTTGCAGTAGTTGCTATGCGGTCGCTAATTAGCAACTAATATTTGCAACTACCATAACAATTAGTTGCAAAAATTATTTTTGCGACTGCAAAAAATGAGTTGTCGCAAATTTTGCAACATATTTTATAATAGTTGCTATGCAGTCGCTAATCTGCGACATTCTTACAACTTTTTGTGACTAAATTGCAGTTGCTAAGGCTAACAAATTTGAAACAATTTTTTTAAAAAAATTGCGACTAATATTGCAACTAACATGGTAGTTGCTACTATTGTTTTTAAAATTTATTAAAAAGGAATAAAAACCCTTAATATATAATAAGTTTTTTTTTTGTACGGAAATATAAAAATCCTTAGTAAAAGTAGTACAATAAGTTGTTGCCGCCAAAAACTACAATAAACAATTATATCACTCCTTCCTTAACAAAAAAGTCATCACTCCTTATTTACAAACAGTGCTACTCGATACTCTTCATCCTCACAAAAAAAAAGACAAAAAACGAAGGCCAGAACGGTTCAATTCAGAACTTCAAATCAAACCCTCGTCGTCTTCATCGGTCGTCGTTGCGCCATCCATCTCCTCTCAGGTTAGTTACGCATGCTTCCTCTTCCTAGTGTCCATTCAATATTTCTCATATTGCAATTTGCTAATTGCGATTTAGTATAATTGAGTATTTTGTCCAATTTTTTAATTTAAGTCTAGTTTCGTTTGCAATTGCGGATTGATTTTAAATTTCGAATTGATTGAATTGCGAATTAAATGAGTTGTGAATTGATTGAATTGAATTTTATCTGGTTTAATGCGAAGATTGAATTGATTTTGTTTGACACGTAATTGCGAATTTTTGGGTTATTTTTGAAGTCAATTATTAAAAAACCATTCAAACATGATTTAATATTCAAAATGCCCTAATTATTTTTAATTTCTTAATGACTGATTTCATTTACCCTGAGGTTTGCAAGGTCTGGATCTGTTCGAATTCTCTGTATAATTTTCAGAAATTGAAAGAAAAATTAAGTGAAGTGTATATGCATTTTTACATTGTAATTATGATAGAAATGACAATGATGAAGAGGATAAATAATAACCAAGATTAGGTTTCCTAAAGAATTTTAATTTAGTTAGTTGTGGTTGATCTTGTGGTGTTGCACTGCTGCCGAATTTAGGTTTCGCTACTTATTCTTGCTAATATAATTCCATTGCATTACCTGATTTTGAATTTATTATATTGCAGTAATTTTGTGTCTTAGGTGCCAGAATTGTGGCAGAATTGTATACTGCAAAATGAATAATATCTAACAATGTAAATACTCTCTGCAATATGTTTATATAGATGTTGTAATTGATAGTTTATATGACAGAAACTTATAAACAGGAGTTTATATAAATGAATTAGTCAGACTAACTAAAATCCCTATATAATATTTTTAGTTTATTTTTCTTATATTTTTCCTTAACACTAGATATCCTATTCTCATATATATGATGCTTCATATTTTGATGTATGTAGTTTCCGCTATTCTGAAATTTTGTTCCCTAATTTGGTAAAATAAATTGATTTGTACCAATCATTGTTTTGTTCTGCTTGTTTCACTATAAGCATATGCGAATCGTGGATACATACACTGATGCATTATATTTCTTTTTTTTATTTTTTGGTTCCTATTAAGTTTATTTTTTTGGTTTCTCTATATTTATGTTGTCCCACCAAATGAATATTGAACATTTCTTTTTCCATTGTTTCAAAAATAAAGAAAAAGGATTGTGTATACACTATATGACTTAACTGCTGCACCTTTTCTTGCTTATCTTTCTTTTGTCTTCTAAGTAATTGCCTAAATAACTAAGTAACGTATATAATAAGAATAAATTACATATATAAGAAGACTATATTACATATATGTGTATGATTAACAATGTCGTTTAGCAGTTAGGATCATGGAGAAATTGAATCGAAAATGGATGTATGAGAGATTAGAAGGTCGACTACTAAAAAAAGAGTTCACAATTGGCGTGCGAGAGTTTATTGAGTTTGCTAAACAACACTGTGATTTTCAAGAATCTTCAAAGATCATATGCCCTTGTTCAAAGTGTAAAAATGTTCCTTTTTTAGATGTTGAAAGTGTACGAGAGCATTTGTATAAAAAAGGATTTCTTAATGACTACTATGAATGGGTTTGTCATGGAGAGGATTTTGATTCTTTAAAAGCATCAGATGAGCCGTTTGATCCATATGTTAACATGATTATTGATACATTTGGTCAAGTTGATGGTGATCCAATGCATGAAGACATTCGGAATGTTGAAGAAGAACCTAATCCTCAAGTTAAGAAGTTTTTTGAGATGTTAGCAGCCGCACAAAAACCATTGTATGAAGGAAGTAGATTATCTGTTTTAGAGATGGCTTCAAGGATTACGAGCTTGAAGTGTGAATACAACTTGCCCCATAGATGTGTCGATAATATTTCATCGCTCATTAGTGAAGTAATTCCTGATGAGAATTCAATGTCCAAGACGTACTATGACACTAAAAAGGTGGTAAAGGGCCTTGAACTTCCTCATGAGAAGATACATGCATGCCCTAAAGGATGCATGTTATTTTGGAAGGATAAAGCTCACCTTGAAAAGTGTTCGAAATGCGGGGGGGAGCGTTATAAGAAGACTTCTCGTGGAAAATGTGTGCCGGCCAAAGTGTTATTCTACTTCCCGATCGCGCCAAGGTTGCAAAGGCTCTATGCGACCAAAGACCTTGCACATGAAATGCAGTGGCATTCACAAAATCCTAGGGCAAGTGGAACACTCACCCATCCAAGTGATAGTGAAGCATGGAAACATCTTGATAACACATACAAGGATTTTGCAAGTGAGCCCCGTAATGTTAGATTGGGTCTATGCACAGATGGTTTCTCAGCACATGGAAAATTTGGAAGGCAATATTCTTGTTGGCCAGTAATTGTTACCCCATATAACTTGCCTCCATGGTTATGTATGAAGAAGCCGTTTATGTTTTTATCCTTGCTCATTCCGGGTCCTAAAAACCAAAAAGGGAACTTGGATGTGTACATGCAACCCTTGATTGACGAATTGAAATCTTTATGGGAAGTAGGTACAATGACATATGATGTATCCACAAAGCCAAATTTCAAGTTACGAGCTGCCCTTTTTATGGACGGTTAGTGACTTTCCTGCGTTTGGGATGTTATCTGGTTAGACTACATCGGGAAAGATGGCTTGTCCATACTGCATGGACAAGCATAGATCTTTTTGGCTAGACAACGGCTCTAAAGTATCATGGTTTGATAGTCACCGTCAATTTCTCCCACCTACACATCCTTATAGAAAAAACCGCACTGCATTTTCCAAAAAAAGAGCAGAAACTCGATTGCCTCCTCCAATATTGACGGGCCATAAATTATGGGAGTAGGTTGAGGAGATTCCAAAGTCCATTGATCCAAAAATCCGTTCGACAAAATCAAAAAAGGTCAAGACAGGGTGGCATAAGCAAAGCATCTTTTGGGAGCTTCCTTATTGGAAAGATTTGTTGATTCGACATAATTTAGATGTTATGCACATTGAAAAGAATTTTTTTTATCAACTCATCCACACAATAATGAATGTGAAAGATACCGCAGTTGATACAGATAAGGCTCGCCTAGATGTTTAGCGATATTGTAAGCGGAGTAGCTTAGAGCCTATTAAATCTGATGATGGAAGCTTGATCTTCCCAAAAGCACCATACACTCTTGATAAAGTACAATGTAGAGTGTTTTGTGAATGGATAAAAGATCTTAAGTTTCCAGATGGATATGCTTCTGATTTTGGTAGATGTGTGGATTTGCAAGCCTGTAAGATACATGGAATGAAAAGCCATGATTGTCATGTGTTCATGGAAAGGTTGTTGCCCGTTGCAATGAGAGAACTTCTTCTTGATAATGTTTGGAAAGCAGTCACTGAAATCAGCCAATTTTTTCGCGATCTATGCTCTTACACTATTAAAGTTGATGATGTGACTCGTTTAGAAAAAAACAATCCAGAAATCTTATGCAAGTTGGAGAAAATATTCCCACCTGCATTTTTCAATTCAATGGAGCATTTACCCGTTCATTTGCCGCATGAAATAAAAGTGGGTGGTCCTGTGCAATGCAGATGGATGTATCCATTTGAGAGGTAATATACATTTTCCCAAGCCACTCCATTGTTTTCAAGTTTCTTCTATATGATTTATATTTTACATGTGAATGAGTCAATTTAAATTATTTTGTAGATTTCTTAATCATCTAAAGAAGAAAATTGGTAATAAGGCTCAATTTGCAAGGCTTATCTTGCAGAAGAGATTTCTAACTTTTGTTCTTATTACTTTCAACCTCATGTTGATACGAAATCTAGAGATCTAGGACGCAATGTTGTTGATGATGATGATCTAGATTCAACTATACCAGAATTATTCCAATTTAGCAAAGGTCGTGGCAAAGGTGTCCAAACAAGGTTTTTAGATTCGAAAGAAGTCAAGCATGCACACCACTATGTTCTTTCCAATTGTGGGGTGTTAGGAGAATATGAAAGGTACAAATTTCTATAATTGGTAGTTATTTTATGAAATTTGCTAGATAATTAACATTTTAAGGTTTATAGGAATTTTGAAGAGTCGATGATGCAAAAATATCCTGGTATTGACCTACATGATATTTGGAGCAAGTTTTCACATGATTTTTCCAAATGGTTTCAGGATTTTGTAAGTTTTTACAATCAAGTTTCAATATATCATTCGCTAAATATGACTAAGGTTATATATTTTATTAATTAATGGCATGAATTTGAAATTAGGTTATCGAATCTAATGAGACTGATGAAGTGATTCGAGCACTTGCCATGGGTCCGTCTAGACAAGTCAAAACATGGAGGCAATTTGACATCAATGGCTTTAAGTTTCACACTTTTGATTATGGAAAGCACAAGGCAACTATGAATTATGGTGTGGGTGTAATAAGTGAGGAGGAAATTGATTACTTCGGCATTTTAGAAGAAGTCATTGAGCTGGTCTACTTGGGGACCGTAAATTTCTTCAAAGTCGTCTTGTTTAAATGTCATTGGATGGATTCAGTGAATGGCATGAATATTCATGAGCAGTATAGATTAGTTGATGTGAACCACTCTAAGAAATACCCTGCATATGATCCTTTTGTTCTAGCACATCAGGTTTATCAAGTGTATTTTACCTCTTATCCAAGCTTAAAGAAAGATAAGAGTCAATGGTGGGCTGTTTTTTAGACTAAAGCTAGGTCAAGTGTGGATGCCCCAATCGATGAGTCAATTTTCCACGTAGACATTGTTGAGACCCCAACCCTTTATTCCTCGGATGATGATGATGGTGTTATGTACGAGGATATGGATGAAATGGAGGAGGACGGCTCAGGTGGTGAAGAGGAAGAACGACATGAAGAAGATGAATGGGATGACACTGAATCTGAATCTGAAGAAGAGGTTGATGGAGAGTTAGGATATACTGACAGCGATGACGAGGACGATGAAGAGGATGATGATGATGATGATGATGATGTGGATGAAGAAGAGGAATAATTTCTAAGCTTGTAGTTTTCAATGTGTTTTCTTTGTTATGGGCTTATTAGTTTGATAGACAATGTGTTTATCTTATTTGTTTGGTATATGATAAATGTTTTAAAATTTGTTGATCATATTTGTGAGCTTACTTTTTTTAAAAAAAAAAAATTTATTATGGGTTATTATGTATAAATTAATTATTGTGCTTCTGATCTTTCTAGTTCTTTGGAAATTAAATCCTTCATGAAAAATTCAAAATTTGGTCGGGGAGGTAATCAAGGCGGTGTCCGAGCCAATAATCAATCGGTTGATCAAGACAATCCTGTGGTCACATGACCGACACCACCACCTTCTAATGAACAGGTACAAGTAAATTCTAATGCTGATGTTGCTGTTGAGAATGATGTGGCACCACAAAATTTGAATGGAGTGGAACAAGGAAAGATTGAGCTCTCACCAGATGGGCTATGGTCAGTTATATTTATCTATGCATTAGATTTGTTGTCTTACAAGCTTATTATCATTATTTATGCTAGTGCTTAATCTTTCTTGCATCAGGTTTGATGACCATACCGTCATGAATTTTACTGAGGTGCCACTTATGGTTAGGGATCGTTGGTTCACTGAGTTTAAGGTATGTTTAGAATTTGAGACATTCTCTTGTATTCATTGCTCTTAAATCATATTAGCCTTAATATTGTGTTTTGTAGGCCGTTCCTTTTGCTCTATTTGTCAAGGACCGATAATTATCAATGTAATTATGCTCAAATTAACTAAGAATTTAGAGGAAAGCTTGATTGATTACTAATTTCTGTTTAGTGCATTGACTTAATGAACTTCGTAATTCTATCAGTCCTAGAAGACTTAAGTTTGATCCTTCTGTAACGGAACAGCTGTCATCGTTGGATTTCTGTTATGGCCTTAAAAAGTACTGAATGCTAAACATGATCTCTGCTTGAACAGATGTCTCTTGCTCTTCCTCAGTCCCTCTCATAGTCTCACTTGCAATTCTGGTGCACTAGTACTACATGAACTTCATTTTGTGATATTACCCATCAATTTTTTGGGATATGGGGGTAACATGAGACATTGTCTTTAATCTTTTTACGTATTGGCCTAGTACATCACCTAATTACTAATGCTAGACAATGTATCATGCTAAAAGAAGAGAAAATGATATGTGGCTCTGTCAAGTGGTTTAACTTCTAAACACTTATTATATCGAAGAGAATCACTCAATCACATATACCAGACAAGAGTTTCAGTTCATTATACTATGATAAGAAAAATGGAAATTATATGCTAAAACAAGATTGTGATCTTTTACATACCTTTTTCACAACTCCAAGACCTTCAGAAATAACCTGAAAATAAAACAAGTTTGATGTTTAAAAAATAACTGTGATTTATATACAACAGAAGCTAAACTTCATGCCTAAATATTTTATAGGCACCCAAACAGCCCAAGGAACTTGAATAAAAAAGGACAAAATATGACTTATGATCTTCAATGTTACCTCACAAATTACTTCGGCACTGCCTTCTTTTTCCTTTTCACAAATTAGAAAGTTCACCACGGCCTTCTTTTTCAAGTGCTTTATCCAATCTCGTTTCGAATGGTGTTGCATCCCAAATCACTTTGGCACTCTGCAATCAAATAACCAATTCACAGCAATACCATAATCAAAGACATTAAGCAGAAAAAAAAAATCCAACGATTATTGTAACATGTAACAAAATTTATCAAAGACAGATATATTGTCAGAGACTAACCTCTCTGAATCTGCTTTTGGTACTTTTTGTGCTTGACCCAAAATTAGTAGTCTTTTCTGTATGACTCTAGTAACTTCCAACAGTTCCAATAATGAGCACTCACACTCTAAATCCACCCTCTGACAGCCTAACTCAGTAGCCAAAACCACCCCCATTCGTGCTTCCAAAGCCTCTGTCATAGCCACACGGACCTGAGCACTCACACTACGAACCATCACAGCCATAATGCTGCCATCAGAGTCCCTAATCACAGCCCCCAAGCTCACACCCCACCCTTCCATCACCGCTGCATCAATGTTGATGCGCACAGTGCTAGCAGCACGACACCTCCAACAGCCACAACCCACAGCAACATCACTTCTAATACCACCAGAGACTACTCTTGTCCTCTTCCTCTTTTAGCATAGTGCAAACAAATGACCAAAACAAATGACCACTAGATTATTGATTCACGAGTTTCCCATGGTTTTCGTCATGCTAATATTTTAGTGTATCTTAATGAGATAGATCGTTAAATTTTGGTAGTTAATTGAGCTTTGGCTTACTATAATGTGCTGTTGTGTAATATTGGTCACTCCTGCAACCATATCAGGTTGTAAATTAGAAATAAAATGATTTATGTATAATATGCTATTTTGAGTTAAATTATAAACTTTACATGTTAATTCTAATGCAGCGTACATATACTTGGAGACCTGAGTTCGATGCTAAGGCTAGGAGAGAATTTGACAAAAAAGCTGGGGACCGACTTAGGGGCACATTGAACCAAGTTTACAAAATGGCTCTTCATAAGCAAGTTAGTTTCATGACTAACACTGTTCGAGCTGAATTCATAAATAAGCGTAAGCATCCTGATTTTGTAAAACGTTCTAACCAAGCAAGAGATAATCAGTTATCTGGCCAAACATTAGAGAAGTTTGACCTTGGCCATCGCCAAGGTAGCGTATCTACTCCTCAAGTGGTTAAAAAAATGGTAAGTGTATGATTTTAGCAACAAACTTATGATTTTTAATATAAGATAGAAGCAAGTAGAAACTTTTTAGCCACTAATATAGATGACTAAATTGGTCTTTATTACAATTGCTCTGTAGTCTATGTCCCCCTATTTTTTAGTTGTTTTTCTTTAAGTGCTAACAACTTCTTCTAATACAAGGCAAAGAAAAAGGATGGAATTTTACCAACTGCTGCTGAAGTCTATGAGAGCACTCATTCTGTTTGTGTGGGAAATGATGAAGTGAATTGATGGATGACAAGTCTCAAAAATTCATGGTATGAGTATACTTCTATATTTTTCTAAGATTACAAAAAAATATATGGTAGTTAATGTTTGGAGATATTATGGATTGTTTATTTATTTGTGTGATTGAGTTGGAGGATGAGAATGATTTGCCGGAATTAATCATATAATTAATGTGGTATGGCATAATGTGAATTGAAACAGGTTTTTTTTGAAGCCATACCCTATAGGAGGGAATTCTTCAATTTACAAAGGAGACTCTGTCGAAATTTTTACTAATAACTGCTTACATAAATTATTTTGCTATAAGTGTTGCATCTTTTATTTAAAAAAAACGATAATAAAAATACCCCTGATCCTCTGTTCCCCGATAGTTGTACCTTTGTAATATGGAACATCTATTAAGAGGTAAAATGACACTTTTACCCCTAATCCTCACATTCAGGAATTTCCAAACCATCGCCACCCACCCTCAAATTAAATTAAATTGTGTTTTAGAAGTCCAAACTAGTTTTAGGCCCGGACGATGTCCCAAGTCATTGCTTGTATTTTTATTATAGTTGTTTTTATTTAAATATATTTAGTTTATTTAAGTTTTAACATTTGAGATCATAGTTACTAATACATATCTTAATGCAGGGAGAATGTATGGAAAAACTTGAGGAGTATAAGAACAAAGGAATTGAGATAAACCCCGACAAAGTCTACTTGGAGGTTGTAGGTGGGCAAAAGAAAGGAAAAGTCTACGGTTTAGGGAGTGCTTCACAAATGTATTACAAGAGCGATCCTACTTCTCAATCTACTGCATCATCTTCCACTCCTTCCATGATTTCTCAATTAAGTTCTCAAGTTGAAGAACTAAAGAACATGGCGGAAGAAACCATAACAAGGTGGAAGAAAGCCAAAAAATAGCGGCAGAGAGCTTAAAATGTGCTAAGGAATTCGTCGAAAATCATGAAATCGAAAAAGCTACATAGAAGAAGGAAAAATTAGCTATGCAAAAAACATTGCAGGAAATAGCATCACTTGTAAAACAAGTTTACCGTCCTTATAAGCCTTCTACGCCTTCAGTCACCCGCTCTCGTGATACAACTAAGTGATTTTTATTTTTTTGGTGGTAATTTTATGAACAACTGGTCTTTTACATTATCATTAGTTCTTATTTGAAGCAGCTTTTTTTTATATGGGAGGTGACTTTTGGAACAATTAGTCATATGAGTTAAATATTGTTTTTAAATACATTGATACAAAATTGATTATATTTTGGATATTTGAATAAAATTAACATTTTGGTTATTTGAATTAAATGCGTGGGTACCTTTTTTTGTGATTGATATTGGTTGTCGCTAAATTATGGTCTCAAATATTGATTGTCAGTCGCAAATATTTAGCGACTGCAAATTTGGTTTAGAGACTGATTCCTTAGTTGCTAAATAATTAGTCTCAGTAGTCGCTAATCTGTCACAAATAATTAGTTTTGTAGTCGCAAAAATTTGTTTCATAAGTAGTTTCTAATCCGTCTCAAAAAACATTAGTCTCAGTAGTCGCAAATCCATCGCAATTAAACTAGTCTCCATAGTCGCAAAAGTTTAGTCTCGTAGTCGCAAAAGTTTGGTCTTGTAGTCCCTAATCCGTCGCAAAAGTAGTCTTAAAACATTGGTCTAAGTAGTTTCTAATCCGTCGCAAATATTTTACGACGGACAATAATTTAGTTGCTAAAGTTTGAAAGTTAGTCGCTAAATGGTAGTTGCAAAGGCGTTGCAAATCCGTCGCTAAATTTGCGGCTGTCCAAAAATTAGTCGCAAAAATGGATTTGCGACTACATTGGCCGTCGCTAATTACCCTTTTTCTTGTATTGTATAAGTTAAAAATATGAACGTATGATACGTTTCCTATAAATACATATTTTTACCGACAGGTATTTTTGAATATCTTTATAATAATTTTGAGCATGAGATACATTAGTTATGAACTTTTTTTTATTTTTTATTTATTTTTTATTTTTATAGATCTATATATTTTTAATTATATTAAAATTTTTGACATTCTCTACTTAATAATTTATATATCTGAACATTTGGCATTTTGAGTAGTGTCTTCAAATGTAGAAGTGTTTGAAGGGTGTTCAATGGTTTGTGGTTGGGGTTCAGAAGTTTTTGTAGGGGGTTCATAGGTTTTAAAAGGGTGTTCAGTGGTTTGCGGTTGGGGTTCAGAAGTTTTTGTAGGGGGTTCAGAGGTATTTAAAGGGTGTTCAGTTGTTTGTGGTTGGGGTTCAAAATTTTTTGAAGGGTGTTCACTGGTTTGTGGTTAGGGTTTAGAAATTTTTGTCGGGGGTTCAGTGGTTTGTGGTTTGTGGTTAGGGTTTAGAAGTTTTTGTACAAGATTCGTTTTAAACTCTCGGTAAGCGAGTAGTAGACTAGTCGTATGAGATTTTTTTAGGGTGTTCAGTGGTTTTTGGTTGGAGTTCATAAGTATTTGTAGGGGGTTCAAAGGTTTTTATAGGGTGTTCAGTGGTTTGTGGTCGGGGTTCAGATGTTTTTGTAGGAGTTCAGAGGTTTTTGTAGGGTGTTCAGTGGTTTGTGGTTGGGTTCAAAAGTTTTTGTCGGGGGTTCAGAGGTTTTTGTAGGGTGTTCAGTGGTTTGTGGTTGATGTTCAGAAGTTTTTGTAGGGGGTTTAGAGGTTTTCGTAAGGTGTTCAGTGGTTTGTGGTTGGGTTTCAAAAGTTTTTAGCAATTGGTTTTTTCTTATATTCATCATCTAATTTCTTCTTTTTTTGGTGTTCTGACGTTGAACTTTTGACTAATTGTACTGTTCAAAAATTTAGGGTTCAATTTAATACTCAATTCTTAAAATTAAGAATTTAAGATCGATTTGCGAATTTAAACAATAAATTACTTATACATCTTCAGTAGGAGTAGATAATTTCGATTTTCTACAAAAAAAAAAAAAAAAAAAAAAAAAAAAAAAAAAAAGACAATTTTATAGTAGAACATAGTTTCAATTTTATAATTTGTTGAATTATATTAGCAAATTTAACAAAAATGTAGGAAAATCAAAGAAGTTTAAGTGATCATTTTTTTACGGTGTTTTCTTGTGTGTTTTTGTCTTTTGTCATGGTAAATTGCAGTTTTTAGAGAGAGAAAAATGGTGATAGGAGAGAGAAAATACAAAAATAATTAATTCAAAAAGGTTTTTTTATATATGAGAGGAGAGAGAAATTTTTTTAAATGAAATAAAAAATAGATATGACAGTTGGAGAGAGGAGGAACTTTTATTTAATAATAATAAAAAAAAAAAACTAAACTCCAAGGGCTTCTATTGTCTGGGCTTCCTCTTTTGGGCACAGATTGGGCGAGGTGTACCTATTTCTAGGTGCACCATGGTGCACATAATACTAATTGGTTATGGCCAAATTACTGAACTGGGCCTGGTTTGAGCCTTATATGCGGCCCAATGATCTAGGGGAGGGCCTAATATAGATTTATCATTCCTAATGCAATTAGGAATGGTTTTAGTCTTCTAGATTCTTCTAGAAGGTTCTTTTCATTTCTAATTCAATTAGCATTGATAAATTGACTTTTGTTGACTTTTTAGAGTTTTAATTAGAATCAAAGAACGTTTTTTGAGGAAAATACGATTTTATCCTCCTGTACGGCAATTTCTATCTGATTTTAAGAAAACGCATGAATTTCTGAATCAGCGCCAAACGCCAGCTATAGCGCTTGGCGCTACGCTTGGCGTCTGGCGCTAGCATTGGCGCCTGGCGCTAATGTTGGCGTCCGGCGCCAATAGCTAGCGTTGGCGCTAATCCAATTTTATTTGCGTCAGAACTCTGTTTTTGATATTTTATCTTTTTGGCTGATTTTCTTTATAAATAACGTCGTAAAAACTCCGTTTTGATCATCAACAATCATCAACTCTCACCAATTCTCACCAACTCTCATCAAGATTCTCTTGATTACTCTCTCTCTCTCTTTTCTAAACTAGCCTTCTCTCAAATATAAAAATTCCGCATCATTAGATCTTGATACACCTAGCCATATTCAAAGTTGCCTTCGTCCTAGACGTAAAAGGTTTAATTTCTGAGGGTTTGGTCCGAAATCTCTATTTCCATTATTTAATTTAATTGTTTTGTTTATTATTTTCCTTGAAGTTACTAACGTGTGTATTTTGTTATTAGAAAAAGGTACGAGGCATCAAAGTGAGTACTTTAATGGTTTTTATTGATGTTATGATATAGAGTTCATGCTTAGGTTGTTATTTTAATTCCTAGTGTCATGTCTAGGGTAACTTTAATACTAAGTATGATTGTTATGATGCCTTCTATTTTCTTCCTAATATTTATGATTGTGGGTATCATGTTTGGGTTGAAGCTTTGATTTTTATTGTTTAGTGACATGCTAGGGTTTGTTATTAATCTTGTTAGTATCATGCCTAGGATCTTGCTATTATTATTATGCTTTAACATGATTCATGATTATTTTTAAAATTGTTTTTTATTATTATTGATATTTGCAATTATATATTATTATATTGATTATTATTATTGTTGCTTGATATTTATTGTTATTGCTTGATCACACCTTTTATGCATGTTTAAAGGGAATTTGTATTTGTAATCATGCTTCATAAGATAATTAATAATCTTATTTAAAGTTAATTTGATTATAATTCAAGTGATCGCCAAAGTTTACTTGTGCATTAATATCCAACCAACATAGATAAACAGGTTAAGGGTAACCTATTGATTGCATGTTAGTCAAAAAGCGCACATGAATACGATCTGAATAAAGTAGAGGCCTATTATTAGGGCAGGTTCAATCTCTTTTAGGTTGGATTTGTACCTTCATCCCCGAACCCTATTTGGTTCAAGACCTTATGGAGTTGACGATCTCTTGGATCGTTAAGGGGTGTAACCTTCACCTCGTGAACGGTTTACAAGTTCCTAAAAAAAACTTGTTGGCGACTCTTTTGTTCTATTTTCTTTCCCTTTGGACGCCACCGTACTTTAGTGTATGATCACAGTGGGGTTCAAGCTAGGGGTTAACGCTTGAAATATTCCCTACATTACGTATCCGAGTAACTTACCAGAAGTTACTCCAAAGGCGCGTTTTTTGTGGGTTCAGTCGCATTTTATATTCTTTTATGCGAGTGAAAATTTTGCATAAAGCTTTTATGTGTCCCATTCTAGCTTTGGACTTTACAATCATATCATCCACATACACTTCTATTTCTTCATGCATCATAGCATGCAAGAGAGTCGTAGCCATTCTTTGGTACGTATATCTTGCACTTTTTAGATCAAATGGCATGACTGTGTAGTAATACGTACCCCAAGGGGTGATAAAGCATGTCTTTTCTTCATATTCTTTTTCCATTAGGATTTGGTTGTAACCTATGTATCTATCTATAAAGGATAATATCGCATGTACAGCCGTGTTATCTACCAATATATCAATATGAGGTAGAGAAAAATCGTCTTTAGGGCTAGCCTTGTTAAGGTCCCTAAAGTCGACACACATGCAAACTCGTCCATCCTTTTTATGGACTGGGACGATGTTCGCTACCCATTCTGGGTAATTACATACGCAAATGAAACCTGCATCTAATTGCTTTTGTACTTCTTCTTTTATTTTCAAAGAGAAATCAGGTTTCATTCATTGAAGTTTTTGTTTTACTGGTTTAGAAAGGTAGGGTTCAAGGGAATGGTATGTTCCGTAACTTCCCTATCTATTCCAGGCATGTCCTTGTACCAAACAAACACGTCTTCGAATTCTTTGAGTGTCGATGTAAGAATCGGTCGCTCTTCCGGATTTAAAGTTAAGCCAATTTTGACTTCTCTTTTGTTTTCATTAGTTCCTATATTGACTGTTTCAGTTTCCTCAATTATAGGGTTATTTCGCTCTCGTTCATTCATTAATTCAACCAAATTATAAATATTATCATCTTCACTAGATTGATTTGTTATAGCAATCAAAAGATTCAAGAGAAGGCATATACTCGGAAATAGAGCTCATATTATTAAATTCGAAAGATAGTACATTAAGAGAAGAATCCTTTTTGGGATCTTTGTCCTTAGAACTAGAAAATAAAGATTCAGTAATGGGCACAAGGCTCAAATTTTCAGCTTCCTTAAAGTCTAAGCTAAACTCGTCATCTGATTCTTCAAACATTTTCCCTTCGCCGTGACGATTTTCAGCTTGTCACCTTTATGATAGGTCCACTTAAAAGATTTCCTCCATCCATGCTCAAAGGTTTCATTAGAAGAGGTGATCACGAGGTTGGGTCAAAATCTTCATCTTGGATGGCATTCTGATTAGTCATGGTAGCAACATGGTTTTGCTCTAGTTTAAATAGCAAGTTGAATGCTTGCCTATTATAGCAC